ACCCGTTGGCCACCTGCTAGAAAACCAGTTACATCAGACCCCTTACACGTAGGAAGGAAGGGACACAACTTGTCCTCCCCAGAATAGAATAGATGCAGAACCCATATTCACGTTGGACTCACCACTGCCAATATCACCATCTGCAGGCTTCTGGAAAACTTCAGATTCTGCTACAGGGTCCATGTAATGGGCCCTCCAACCCGAAAGCCAATCACAGGAAAGCAGTGAGTTAACATTCTGGTCTTGGATTCTCTGGTTAATGGTCCCTACCTCCATTAGGCCCAGAGAAAGACAGCAAGGCTATAAGTACACCCTGGATCACAGAGAACACCCTGAGGTACACCCTGGATCACAGAGAACATCCTTAAGTATACCCTCAACTACAGAGAACACTCTAAGGTACACCCTGGATCATAGGGAACATTCAAGGTGCATTCTTGACCACAGAGAACACTCTGAGGTATAGACTGAATCACAGGGAACACCCTGAGGTACACCCTGGGCCAAGAGAACACCCTGAGGTACACCCTGGACCAAGAGAACACCCTGAGGTACACCCTGGACCAAGAGGGCACCCTGAGGTACACCCTGGACCACAGGGAACACTCTGAGGTACACCCTGGACCAAGAGAGCACCCTGAGGTACACCCTGGACCACAGAGAACACTCTGAGGTACACCCTGGACCACAGGGAACACCCTGAGGTACACCCTCAACCACAAAGAACACTCTGAAGTATGCCTTCCACCACAGAACTAGCCAGACTTGGTTCTTGCAGGAGGCGGAACAAGGAGCCTCTGGACCAGGGACAAATATGCGCCGCTGGCTCAATTTTGGCCAGAAAACACAGGTGCAGGAACCAAGTATGAAGTTGGATAGTGGGTCTAACCCCATTACACCTAAGGAGCCTTTCAAAAATTTTCTTCCAGTCCCCACTGTTCTCAGGGTACCTGGGGGCAGACTTATCTTCCAGGAGGCATGGCTACAGTTCCTTTAAACTGGAAGCCAAGAACATTGTTTGGCTCTTCCCTCCACCTTAGGCCACAACTGGGAACAGGAAGAAAATGGTGTCTTTGTATTAGCAGAATAGTGTACGATTAAGCCTGTGTTTGAATCCTGGTTCTGTCACTGGTTTCACCTCTGTGCTTCAGTGTCCTCATCGATACAACTGAGAAGGGCACCTAAGCAGTACCTGGCACACTGAAGGCATTCCAGAAGTGTTAGGCATTATGACCATTGTGATTATTTGCCACTCTGATACCGGGACATGGAGCTCCCAGTAGGCAATGGGAACTGGGAGGGGTAGGGGTTCAGCCCAGGAACCTCCTGGGACACCTCCTTGCACTCCAATATCTAGTAAAGGTAAACAGACAACCACTGTATCCTGTTCAGAAAGAACCCCTCAGGGCCCAGACCCTTTGGGAATGGAGAACAGCAATTCCCCAAGAGGGAAAGAGCTCAGCCACCTAAGACGTGGCTGAAGGTGAGGGGTTTGAGAGCCAGGCGTGAAGTGTCTCTCATGTACCAAACAGCTCCTGACCAGCATGGAGGACTTCAGCCCTGAGCCTTCCTCTCCAGCCACAGGTCCATTCTCACCAGGGCCTGATGTCCATGATGGGGGTCATCTGCTGGGCCTACCGCCCCGCCATGACTTCTCTTCCAGCCCACTCTGCCCGCCCTCCCCGCAACGCCCCAGGTCCCTGAGTCCAGCCAGCGCTGCCCGCGTGGCCCCCTAACTCCTGAGTAGGCGCTCCCAGTGTTTCACAAGCGGCTCTGCTACTCCTCAGTTCATTGCCACCTCATCCCCATCACTTCCGGAGTCCATCACAGTCTCCTTTTCCTGAATGCCTCTCCACATGCTGTGCCCTCTACCGGGAACCCTCAACCCTGCCTTCGGCTCTCTCCGGTCTGTCCTGAAGAGTCGGCCTCGTGTGACTTGGGGGCCCCTTCCCTACTTACCACCACACCCAAGGGTCACCTTCATCAGAATTCTGGTTCTACCACAGAATATCCTCAGCTTTCCCTCTCCTCGTCTTGAAGGACAACATACCGATCGGAGTGACCCCCTCGCACCTTCCAACTGCCTGCCGTATACGCTCCCCTGAAGGGAGTGAGTAGGTCTCACTCTTGTGTAGCCAGGGCCCGAGGGGGGCTGACCACAGAAATACTCAACATGAACCCCCAAATTCAAATACAGTGAGGACTGACAGAGGCTTCCTTTGTTAAAAGACAGCAAACTGTTAGATTTCAAAAATAACTTAAGACAAAATTTCTTTTTTATTCTCGAGCAAGAAGCCAGACATTGCCAAATCTATTTAGAGAGTTCACCAAAAGGCTGCTACCCCTGCACTGGTGGTCCTGTAACCAGCATGAGACTTCATTCGGGGGGCCGTGCAAACTGGGGGTCCTTGATTCAGAGGGGTGCTGGCCAAGGTCAGGGCTCTGGCTCTTCTGAGGGAGAGGAAAGGTCCAGGGAGGAGACTGGACTCTCAGGGCCTAGCCTCCACTCCAGCTTGTCCTTAGTCCCTGGGATTTGCCCTCAGCCTGTCAGCACCCCCATCCACGCCGCCTGCTTGTAGGGACTCGTTTTAATTAATGCCAGAGCTGGGCCAACCACTGGGGCCGTGACACTTGTTTGCAGGTCTTCTCCTCCTAACAGGTTCTCCCTGGGAGGGGATTTGTCACTAATTGAAGCAGAGATCAGTTAATGAGGCCGCGGGCCCAGGGTTCCAGAGAACAAGGGAAAGGAAAATAAAATAAAGCCTCTTTCTTTGGAGGTTTTGTGATTTACACACACAAAAGAAAAGCAAGCAAGCTGCAGATTTTCCAAGTCAGAAACTCCGCTCCATCTGCCGGAGTTAGACCCTCACTGTGTGAAGACGTCAGGCAGAGGGACGCCGCCACGGCTAAGACTCGTGGATCTAGGCGGAGAGGGGCCTCCTGAGGCCGGCAATCAATCAGCAACCTAATTAACAATTATTTATGGAGCAGTGCTCACTCCCCCTCCATGGGGGAGAAGACACAGGGCCTGTCCCTGGTTAACTTGTAAGCCAGTAGAACAATGACAGGACAGGACACGGGGTGTAACTGAGTGAGTGTGTGGGAAGGCCATAAGTTTCTAGGCCTTGGGGCTGTGGGAAGAGTTTGGGCTGGCACAGTCAGGAAAAGCCTCTTTGAGGGCTCTGGAAGGGAGCTGGGATGTCCCAAGCACAGGCGCAACCCCTGGGGGCTGTGACAGCCCAGTGTGAGGCCTCCGGTCCCTGAGGGTAAGATCCTGGCTCTGAGAGCCTGGAGGGCCCCCAGTCCCCAGGAACAGCAGCTTGGGCGTCAGAGGCCCGACCCCACAATCTGGGCTAGCTCAGATCCTAGGAAATGGGAGGGATAGAATGCCCAAAGGGCCCTTGGGTGGGACAGTGAGGCCTGGGGATGCTGAGAGCCTGGAGCCCCAAGCCTATAGGAGGAGGACATCCCACCAGGATAGGGCTCAAGCCCTTCCCAGTCAGGGCTACTCAGTGGTTTCCTCCCCTCAGCTCCACCCCACTCCACCCTTAAATCTCAAAGAAGGAAGATGGGATTTTCAAGCTGCTAAACTGGGCAGAGCCATCAGCTCCTCTTGTCATGAAGAGCAAGGAGGAGGTGACAGAGTCCCTTTCCTTCTCTCACAAGAGCCGTCACCTTTGCCAGGAGCCCCCCAGAATCAGAGCCTGCCAGTTTGTATGACCCCAAATGAAGTCTCTGCTGGGTTGGGGACCCCACCAGGGTGGGGTTTGCAGTCTCTCGGCGAGCCATCTGAATAGATTAGGCAATGTCTGGCTCCTGGCTTGGGGTAAGGCAACGAGTTGGGGAGGGAGCTCAATCTTGGTATGAAGTGGGGATCACTCCCCAACAGGTCATTTGGAGAGGACGTGGTCCACACGGGAGCAGAGTAAAAGAAGCCATCTCAGAACAATCCCAAATCCCTACTTTCCCAGAGCAGTGGAATGAATGACAGTGTAGGGTACAGTGGGTTAGTACATAGTTGTGAACAATTATTACACTTAATGACATGGGAAAGATAAGGAGTGTGGGTTTTGCAAAGAGATTATTATATGTGAATTCTTTCATTATACGTGAATTTTTGAATTTGCATTTTGTAAGTTTTTTCTCACCAATTGCATGTATTTATTGTGTGATGAATAAAATAACAAAAGTTGTGAAGTCACTTTCACCCTCTGGAGTCAGCTATAGGAGACCACCCAGCCAGGATCTAGAGAGTATGATGGGGGCACAAGGGTGGGCTCAAGGGTGGGACCAGTGTAGCCAAGGTCCTGGGAACTTGAGCTTCCACTGTGGCTCTGGCCCAGGCCCCTGCTGTGTCACCTGCCTTCAGCCCTCATCTGGGATCCAGCCTTACACTCACACAGCCAGTTTACAAACCTCCCCTACTTAATAGCTCCTCTATTCTCAAAGTCCTGAGGAATTCAAATGAAACTATTCCTGTCTTGTGGAGGGCCTCCAGGATGCACTGGACATGTAACCACATGACCAAGGCCACAGAGGACAATAGTGCCCTGGGAGCTCGGGCAGAGAGCAAAGGGGAGCCAGCATTTGGGCCAGCCTTACAGCTGTTCCTGAGCCCCTTGCTTCCTGCATCAGCCACATTACTGAGAGTGAGCTCCTCTGACAAGGGTGCTGGGGCAAGGGGCCCTACTAGGGACAGACGTCCTGCCCTCAGCTGGAATGTACAGCCCTTTGCATCACTCATGGGCACCGCCCCATCTCCCCGCCGGCTCTCCAAAATCTCGAGCACTCTGTGTTAAAGTTTGTGTCTCTCTAGTAAAGTGTCACCAGAATCTACTCTCTTGTCTGCCGAGGAAGCCTGCCCTGGTGGCCCACCCACACAAACCTCTGTCTCCCACATCCTTGCCTGGCCCCGACCTCAGACAGGTCTGGCCAGAGCTGCAGGGGAGAGGGGCAGCTGCAGAGCAGTGGGACAGAGAAGTGGGGAGAGAGTTACTCACAGCAATGGAGACGGCGCTGATGACAGCTCCCAGGTAGCCCTGGATGAACTTGGACGCAGGAGAAGGCTGGAAGGCAGAGACAGATTTCTAGGCCCCCTGGGTGCCCAAAGCTGCCATACTCCACCCTTGCAAACAGCCCCAGCCAGCAAGAGACAGTCCTGCCCACCAACAGGTGAGAAGGAAAAGATCCCTCTGGAAGCCAAAGGGAGCCAGGCTTCCCTCAGCACAGCTCCATACAGGAAATACAGGGCAGGAACGTCCAGGGAGATGCCAAAGGGGCCCACTGCACTTTTGCCCTGTTCTAGAGAGCTCAGGGGCAGACACTGCTGGCTGGAGGTAGACAACAGCAAGGGCCAATGTGGGTCATGTACGTCTGGGGCAAGCATATCCAGTGGAGGGAGGATGCGTGCTGGAAGTGGGCTGAGGGCAGCTGGAGGGCTGTCTAGGTGAAAATGGCAGTGTCCCGGCTGGCTGTGCCTGGCTGGCTCTCCCGGCCTTAACCCATGAGGCCACCGGGCTTCCATGCCAATAGGCGAGGGGTGCTCAATGTTTCTAAGGAAAAATGTAACCCAAGTTGCAACATATAAAATTAAGAAAGAGCTGAGGAACTTGCCTTTAACTATGCTCTGTTATTTTGGAGATGTTTGGTTCAAGGCACGTGAGAGCCATCCAAGCAGGGATGTACACGTGTGGATCACACACGCGAGATGTGGACTGAAGGTTTGGACGGGGGAGGGGGGCGTCCTCAGAGTTTCAGGCCCCAAAGTTCCTACCACCAAGGCCCAGCCACTAACCCTACCCCATCTCCCCCCTAGGTTAGAGGATGCCCACAGCCTCTCCTCCCCAAACTGACAGGCCCCCCCAAGGGGACCTAGACTCCTCCTCCCATCTTACTGCCTTTGGACAGAAGTGCAGGAAATACAGCATTACCAGTGAAGCTGGGGGCCCAGCCCCTTCCAGGACAAGAGAAGGGTGACAGGCCTCCACCCTGAGCTTGTCCCAGGAGCGCAGGGGACTTTGGGGAGGAGGTGACAGGCCCCTCAGACCCCTCACCCCTCAGGAGCAGCCCTTCAGCTTTACAGCCCACAGTCTGGGGGCACCAAGGCAGCTTCCAGGCAAGCTTGGAGGAAGCTTTAGGGGAATTCAGTCCCCATGTGGCTGTTGCCATCCTAATCCAAGATCTGGGGATAAGAGTTGCCCAAGGAGGATTCCGCCAACGGAGCTCATCTCTCTCACTGCTTCAGGCACAGTCCCATTTCATGGGCCTTCTTCACTTCATGTTGAACAGCCCCTCCCCAGTGGGTCCCTTCCTGAAGGGCTGGCCATTTCAATAAGGTGCTTGGAGAAGCACAATGCTCAACTCAGAGGAAGCAGCCCCCGATGGTGGCACACCACCCTGGAGGGAGGTTGAGGGTCACCAGAGCCTGTTCCGGGCGGCTCACCTTGGTAGCGTTCCGGTTTGCATAGTTGACACAAGCGTTGTGGCTCTGGTTCAGCCACTGGAAGGCAAGGGGGGAGAGGAGAAGTCAGGGGAGGCGTGGGAGCCAGGCCTGGACCCCGGCGGGGCCACAGCCTCCAAGAAGACAATGGGATGCTGTGTCCAGCTCACGGGTGGCTCTGTCCATGACCGACTGTTCCAGTTTGCTTGGGATGGCGCCAGCATCAGCGCTGAAAACCTGGGACACCCCTCAGTTGCTGCCAAACCAGGACACCGGTCCTGCCCATGCCGGCAGTTCATCCCCATCCAGAGACTGTCACCTCTCCCGGAACTGTGGCGTTCACTGCCCCAAACGGGCCTCACTGCCTCTGACACATTAATCCTTATTATATTCCTTACTGAGCCGAAAGCGGACGTGTAACCCCTGGAATTACGGACAGCCGTGAACCTCTTTCAAAAGTATCCCAGCCCGGTGTCTTGCGCCACCTGCCGTGCCCTGATGCGGGCACCGTTAGGAGTTTTATTCAGGGAAGACTCTGACATTTTTTCCTGAAGACAGACAGGCTTTCTTCCTGCCCAGCTCTCTGTGCATAGACACACACACACAGAGCTTCAACTGTTTTTAGGGAGCCATAGCCCAGGCTCTAAGAGTGGACACCAGGGTCTATGATATTCCCCCACCCACCTTGCTACCTTGGGGTTGGCGGTGGGTTCACCTTCCCCACAGATCTCAGTGAGGCTTATACCAAAATGCTGCTGAGGGCCTCGAGGTCACAGGCCTCTGGACAAGCAGCCAAGGAGCAGCGGGCGGCCACAAATAAGCCATCCTCCCCTCGTGCAAAAATTAGTCACATAAAATGGCCTAGGCATGGGCCGCTGGGACCTGCTCAGCAGCATCTGAAGTCCCGGGGTTCTCCCAGTGGCTTCTGGGTCAGGGCGGGGGAAATGGGGTGGCTTTCCCCCAGGGGCCTGGATGGGAGACCCTGGGGTGGGGAATCATAACCAGCATTTGTGGGGCCCCCTTTCATAGGCCCTCTGTTGCCAGGGACTGTTACCTGCCAGAAGACAGTGGATGCCAGTGTCTGGTTGGGCAAGAGAAGGCCAACTACCTATGAGAGAAAAAGAGAGGAAAGACTGAATAAAGCCAAAGGACCATCCTACACTTTTGCAAGGAAAAAATGACACAGGCATGAGCAAAAGTAAAGCTGGATCTGTACAAACCGAGGTGGCTGATGTGTACATACAAACTGCTGCCCATGTGAGATGGCACACGAAGGAAGTGGACCAGGTTGCAGAATTAAATTACAGCACAATCCCACTCTTGTTAAAGAAAAGACATCACATCGCACATAGAACCATATACACAAACATAAGCATATATGTATCTTCATGAACAAATCTATAGCCCCACAAGTAGATGTCTCTGGAGGTCACGTTATACAGTACTTTCTCGCATTCTTCTTGAATATTCCTATATTCTTTTAAGCATTGGGCATGTATTATTTCCATAACTGACGGCAGGGGGACAATAAAAACAAGCAAACAGAAGGAACATCTTTCCTTCCACTCAGCTAACCCAGCTCTCTTTCACACCCTCATCATCCAATAGGATTTTTGTGCAGATTAAAATATGATGAGAAAAATCATTTCAAGGGCCTTAAGCACTTTATAAATACAAACGGGGGGGGGGGAATTTAGATCTTTTATCTCTGAGCCTCCATGAAGAAAATCTACACCATGTTTAAGCTACTGAAGGAAACATAGATGTCTAATAAATACTTGTCAAATGAGTGAATGAATCAATGAATGAACAAATACACACATATGGCTGAGCACCGCTACATGGGTCTGGATTCATTATTCCCAAAGCCCAAATGTCACCTAAGAGCTAGGCTTGCTGACTTTGTTTTTTTGGTTTAAGTCAACATTAATGGTCTCATCTTGACAAGTGGCCAAACTTTGGACTTCAGGGATCCATGTGTCTCTTTCAAGTTTACCTTTTGAGAGCCTGTGAGCAAAATAACATCTACCAAGTACCAATGCATATGGGAAAAATGTGCACAACCATCCACATATTGACTTATTTATTATTCCTGTAGATAAAATGGCTCTTTGGCAAGAATTTCTGTAAGGAGCAAGTATAAACATCCAATACTATGCAGTAAATCAAATTCTAGACATCCTCAGCAGCATTTGTATATCATGTTTTAAACATTAAAATGTTTTAAGACAGCAAACACACACACACACACATTTATATTTATTGGCCCATATCAGTTTGAATAAAATTATATAATGTAAAGCCATTCCATAGCTCCAATGAGGAATTATGAGATTTTTCTCCCCAGAATGAGATCCCAGTTTGATTTTTCTCTGCAGCAACAGCTTAGGGCACTGGAGTGAGAATCAGGAGAGCTTGGAGCTCAACCTCAGCCCCGTGCCTCTGTGAGCTCCAGCCGACAGTGTCTCCAGCAGAAGACAGGCTCCTTTGGGGCTCTGGCTTTCTTACGGGGTTGAGCTTGGAGGTCCTACCTTGGTTTAAAGTTCTACTCTTGAGTTCCAAGTAGTAGGTATGAAGTCAAGTGAGATAGTCCCATCGCCTGTAAAGGGAATCACCCCTCCCCAGCCTGGCTGAGAAAAATCCCTGGGGACCCTAGTCAGCCTCTAGCCAGGAGCCAGAGAGCTTCCACAGAGAGGAAGCTGAGCCTAGAATGGCCTGAAATTGGGAACAAACAATGTGATCTAGTGAGTGTGTGTGTGTGTGTGTGTGTGTGTGTGTGTGTGTGTATACACACGTGCATGCCTGACTGCCTCCCAAAGCCAGAAGAAGAAGTAAAAGCTGTTATTCACTGTTGAGAACTCAGCATATCATCCCCCCTAATCTGTTGGTTTACATAACAAGTGTGTGTTATGGGCCACGTTGCCTTCCCCTCCTCAGTCTCCCTTACACTCCCTGAACTGAGCTTGGGCTATCAGGAGCATCATAAGGTACAGCTCCTTGGGACTCACTGTATTTACCAAACACCTATTGTCCAGGACACTCACTGCTCATTACATCACAGAATCTCCTTTATGAATCCTCCTGGGGGAAATTTTTCTGGCTTTGGGGTCAGAAATTTATACACTTCTGAGCATCTGGTCTGCATCTGTCTTGTAGACGTTGAGCATTTTACTGTGTCTCTCTCTGCACTGACTGTCAAGAACCTCAGGCCAGATCTCCACGGCTCATATTTGTCAAGTGTACAAACCATCACTGCATGTATTTTGTGCCCAAACTTCACTCCTGGCTTCTTCCCATTCCTAAACTTTTGTCTCACTTTCGCCTTCACTTGTCTTTTCTGGTGGCAGGCATTGTCTTTGTGTGACATCAAGTCTTTTCCAGAACAAACCACAGTCCTAAACGAAACTGAAATAGTACCCAGGCCTATGTAACACACACACACACACACACACACACACACAGCTTGTAACCTTATTAGCCAAACCCGACCAGCCTCCTGTCCCAACCTCCTGCTGTAACATGGGCCTGGTATTCATGCTGGGCACCTCTGACCCCTCATGCTTTCTTAAAGAAATTGAATGATTGATTGATTTTGCTAAGAATTTCCCCTATGTCACTTACCATGATTCTTATTAGTACGCTGGGGCGCAGACAAAATAGAGATTGCTTTCTGTATTTTGCAAATGGGGAAACTGAGGCTTAGAGAAATTCAGTGATTTGCCCAAGGCTTCACAGCAAACTAGAGAGAACGTCAGAAAGGTCTCCTCACTCTTGGCTTGAGGGCTCCAACTCTCTGATTTTAGGGGTTCCTTTCCCAGCTCATTCGCCTGAGCACAAAGGAAGAGTCACACTCCATGCCCATTTTCAAATACCTTCTATGCACCATGTTCCGTGGTGCTCCCAATGGAGCAAACAGGAAGAGAGGAATATATGGCACCTAACCACAGTAAGCACAAAGACCAAACAGGAAAATGTATGAGAATATCCTTTATAACATCTGGACATGAAAATGACCAGATGGTTTAATCAGGTACTTGGTCACGTCAAGCCGGTAACTTCTAACATCCGAACAGGACCTAAAGAAGGGAGAGGTCAGCATGCTGTGGCTATCTGTCGAAGTAGGTGATAGGATGGAGCTGAGCCGTGCGTGCGTGTGCGTGCGTGGGGCAGGGGACACGTGTGCACACTCACAGGAGCAGAACAGCCAAGAGACTGGTCTCATTAGAAGAGGCAGAAAAATCAGCAGACCTGGGGAGGGTGAGGTTAGAAGGCAGTGGAAACCCATGCTGTATTGGCCAAACGGACCCACGGGAACCATCTGAGGCTGAGGCAAGGGGAATAGCGATCCCACTTTCCAGGTCCTACAGTCAGGCTGGTGGGGCCGGGAGCACATGGGTGCCAGCCCCATTCCCTATTAGGCAACACGCAGCACCATCTGCACAGTCCCAGGAGCAAGAGCAGATATTTTATAACTTCCTTTTTTCTTTTTAAGTCTAAATTAAAAATAAATGTTCCTTCAGTTCTCAGATGTATATCTCTGGTGCAACCTGCCCACATTCCCCCACGCTGCCCTTTCCAGAACATGGCAGGAGAAAGGAGGAAAGAGATGGATAGAGAGAGGGAGCCAGTCCACCCGGCTTCAATGCCAGTGGATTGCACCTCTTCCAAGAGGGAAGCGCTTCAGGCGTGGCCGCGCAGACGGGTGGAGAGAGCCCAGAAAGCGGCTGGTACCAGGGAAAAGTGGAAGGAGAGCCAGCAGCCAGAATTTCCAGCCCAGCCTCCACCCTATCTTGCTGCAGGACCTTGGCCAAATCGCACATCCAGTCTTTGCTCCCATTTATAGTTCATAACACGGCTGGGGTCCCCTCCACCGCTCCCGCCCCCTGGCAGCTGTCTTCTTCTCACATCTGTCTACTTTCGCTGCTCCCCTTCGCCTCAAGTGGCCGGCCGTAGGCCCCGGTGACTAACATGCAGGCTCTGGTCATACGAAGAGCCGGACTCACATCCTGGCTCTGGTATTTACCAGCTGTGTGACCGCACACAAGTTACTTGAGCCCTTGTGCCTCCATTTTTTTTTTTTTTTTTTTTTTTTTTTTTTTTTTTTTTCTGTTAAATGAGCACCATCCTGGCACCTCTCTGGACGGCCATGAGAAGAAGCAAGGCATGGAAAGAATTCGGCCCAGGGTTTGGTGGGCAGCAAGTGCTCACTAGGTATAAGGTGTCCGTATCATTCCTCTCCTCCTGTCTCATCCTTTTCTAGTTTTTGCCGGTCTCTCCTTTCTCTGAACTCCACAGGCTGCATGACACCATCGAGCTTCATCTTGCCCCCATCTTGTCCTTGAACACAAGTCTCATCCCTCAATAGTGAGCTCCTGAAGGTAGAATCAGGGTTTTTCTCTCTGATGTCCCCCAAAGCGCTCAGCACAAAGCTGGGTCCACACTACACACTGGAAGAACATTACTAATTCATTATTAAGAACATGAATTCTTGGCCAGGCAAAAGATCTATGATGGACTGTGACCATGACCACCATCACCCATTTCCTCCTTACTCCTTGTATTAAAACCCTGCATTGCATGAGGGCACGCTCTTGGAGAGAGGGGCGGATTAGTTTTAGGTCCCGATTCTTCACTCCTCCCTGCATCCATGCCCTTGACACGGGAAGAATATATTTCCATGCTCTTGGCGTTGCTTGGCTTGGACATATATGTCTTGCTGTGGCCAAAAGCATGTGGGAGGAAGTGGCAGTGTGCCAGTTCAGAGCCCAGGCCTCAGAGGCCTCATCAAAGGAGGAGGAGAGACGTTTGAAGCAAAGTACAGTCTGCGTTGGCTGACTCCCAGTTGAGCCCAGACCTGCAATGGCACGTAGTACCGCCTCAGTCAAGCACAGTCGAACGCAGCTAGACCCCAGGTAACCACGGACCTCTAAGAACAAATTCTTATGGTCGCCACAGAAATTCTGCGGACGTTTGCCACACAGCATGGAGGTAGCAATAGCTGTTTAAATACAGGGATTGCCACATAGGAAGGCTGCAGATGATGTCCTTTCTGATTCAGAATTCCGTACCATTACTAATGCCCTTGAATTATGCCTTCACTAGTGAGAT